TCCCTATTTCCGATGTCACACGGCAGTACTCTGGAGTGAGAGGAGGAGGACAGTTATTTCTTTCCCATCTGAGAAAGCAATATGGAAAACAGTAAGGAGAGCTGCGAGCTTACCATCTGCCAGGCACATAATGTTAAGTACTTTGTATGTACTATTTCATTTAATCCTTGTAATAATCTTAAGAAAAAGGTACCGTTTGTTAATCCTTGTTTTATAGGCCAGAAAAGCTAGGCTTAAGGAGGTAAAGAGATTTACCCAAGGGACACAGCTGGTGGGTGAGGACACCTTAAATGACTCTGCTTCGCTGCAGTGCTTGAGCCTTGAGCTCCTGAACTACCCACACAGCACGTGACTAGCCATTTAATCTAATCTACGCGCTGCTTAGCCAATGAAAGTTAAAGGTATGCTTTCTTTATAAAATAATTTAGAAATGGACAAACCCAAATAGATTTTAAACCATTGACTACAAGATTAAAATACTCCTTCGGTTATAAAACTCACCATTATTTTACGCACTACTAAGTAAAAAAGGTGCCAATTATAAGACTTCATCGATAGTAAACATATGCTAATTTTAGATACTAAAATGTAAGAAATAGTCTGTCCTAAAACGAATGAAATACAGTATGTTTATTTGACCTGCTTGCTCCTCTTTCCTGTGTAAGATTTACCATCCTTTGCCAGGTCTTACACATTTACTTCTCTTAACTCGCTTCCTCAAGGCTGGTTGTTTCCAGAATGAGTTCTGTCTGCTTTTTGCTGACGACCCCCCCGACTCTCCCCATTGATCTCATCTATTTGCAAGGCCGTGCCAGCGCCTGACGGCATCCCTAATGATGTTTTTAGCTGACTCTTTCCCTAGACTCCAGACCATATTTCCGATGGTTTATCTCCAAACTGATATTATATAAACTCTTAAACTCGATATGTTGAAAAGCCAGTCTCACTGCTATAAGCCTAAGCCTGTTTCCTCATCTAGGGCTCGTGTCTTGTGGTGGCAGCACAGGACAGTATATATACTGGAGGAAAAAAGTCCAAAAGAGTTCAAATCTCAGCTCTGACACAGCCCCTGTCAGACCTTGGGCAACTGATTCAGCGTTGCTTAAAAAGTCTTCGTTTCTTTATCTAAAAAGTGGGATTGCTAATGATAACTTTCAGGTGGTAAAGTTAAGTCAGCTAATTTTTTTTTTCAGGGCAAGTAGAAAAGTGGGATATTTTGTGAGTCATTCGGCATCAAAGATGATCTTTTTGTTGCCCTTTCAAGAAAAGATGCCTCAGCTCGATGTAAAATTGGAATGACAATCCTTTCTCCTCTAATGTCTGAGGTGACGTGTCACTGCTCTTCGCACAGCGCTGAGGTGACTGGGTACAGATGTACTTCCCTTTTGAGGGTAACAGCTTCTCCTCACTCCACGCCACCCCACCCTCATATCTGGATGCTTACAGTTTAGTCATTTTTGAAATATAACAATTTTGATAGAATGTGTTTAAGAGTGACTTTTTCATAATTATTATTCTCCTTATTTAATGACAGCTTTATTCACACAACATAAAATTTCTTCATCGTATTTTGCTGGCTGCTCTTGAGCCCTTTGATGTGAAGGCTCCTGACGTGACTCCCTTCAGCTAAGGTTGGTGATAAACGCGGGAAGTTTAATATGTAAGCTCAGGTTATCGTCCTGAAGCAGAAGCCTAGCCAGCACATCCTGAAGCTGACCGCTGCTGCCACAGTGCTAATCCTCCCATCTGTCCCACTGGCTCCATCTTGGAACATGTTTTACATTCTTTACACACTCCTGGCTTTTTCATCAGGCTCCTTGTTTCTCCATGGTTCTGCCATGTCCAAGCCTCAGCCCTCCTTTCCTTTCATTCTACAAACTCTTCCTGGGTGATCTCATCTACTTCCTGTATCCAACTGTCATCTCTGTCAGTGGTTCTCAAGCCCCTCCCTGAATATTGTTTACATAGAAGCATTCTCTCATCAGTAACAACTCTCATTCAACACAGAGATTCACAGCAACAAGGACATCCTGAGATCTCAGGAGGGGTATTCATAGCTTGAAAAAGCACTTCTGACCAGGGACGTCTGGTCTGAGACACGCTTCTGCCTCATCTCTGATGGACGGCACCATCATCCACTGAGCTATCCATCCCAGAAGCCTGAAAGTCATCAGCACTAGACTTGAGAACAAAGATGGTGTCTCTCTAGTTCCCCGCCATATCTACTAGAGTGTCTAACATAGTAGCACAATAAATATTTGTCGAAGGACTGAATTCAGTCACTCGCTAAAATTCTGTGGTTTCCAATACATATCCTTTCAACCTATCCTCGTCTTTTCATTCATGCTGTCAGGACTTTAGTTAAAATCACTATTATTTTCTACCAGGCTTCCTACCACAGTTTCCCAGCTTCCTGTCCTGCCTCCCTCAACCCACCCTCCATGCTACAGGCAGAGTTCTCTCTTCCCACTAGACAGTTTTTATCATCCCTCCACGTAAGGCCCTTTAAAATCAAATCTAATTTCTCAACACAACAAACAAGTCTATAACTCTCTCGACTTTGTACATAGCATTCCTTCTACTTGGAAGAACGGCTCAGGCATCATTCAAAGGAGAATTTCTTGATGTCCCAAAGCTGAATTAAACATTCACCTTCTGTGCTCTCCAAAGCATCCCGTACTTCTCCTAGTATTGCATCTATTCTGTATTGTAATGGTCCGTTTACTTGTCTGTTTCCTCAACTATGTTGTAAATTTTGATGGGTGGGCCACTGTCCTTTTCACTGTATCCCAGTGTCCTGCACAGTTCTGGCACAGAGTTGGCATTCAGTGAGTATCTGGTAAATAAATACATTTTCGAATATCACCAGTGACCATGAAAGTAAATTACTTTGGAATTCCATCAACGGACACAGATTCTGAATCTCGCTGGGATCCATAAATAAGTAACTGAGTGCATGAACATTATGAAATTGGACTCAACATTTTGTGAGTGTATATACATTTTTTTAGGGTAATTTTCAGTCTATCTAGAGTTTATCATCCTAAAAATTTGAGAAAGATTACTGTTGCAGTTTATTTGGTTAGAAAAGATAAAGTGTACTACAAACTAACAAAATCAAATTGTAGACACATACACACAACACAGACAGAGACACACAAACACACACATGAACTGAATGACATCAAGCCCAGGGTAAACCTTTTTTACTGAAAAGGGACAAGACTCAGAGGAGTTAAGAGGGCAGCAGGAAGACTGAAGAAAACAGCTGCTGCCAGAAAAAGAATTTAGAAAGGCAGAACAGAAAGAGAACAGGACCTTCCGTCTACTCTGCCATTTTATATACGGTCCTTATGCAATCGCTGTGTGAAAGGCTGGCTTCCTTACAAAGGATGTCATGTCTGAAGCTCTCTGTATAATTTTGAAAATTGCAAACTTCAGCTTGCCATAATGCTGCCCGGCTTCAGGACGGTTCTGTTCTACCAGTCTAGCCGTCTTTTCAGTTCTGTCCGGTGAGTCCCTGTCTAGACTCTGACCTTCGACAGAAGGAAAGAAAAGCAGCAAAAGGCAGGCCGTGGCCTGGGCTTATGAGAAGGCAGGGGCAGGGAGAGGAGGGCGTCAAGCACTCACTGCTTCCCAGGTGAGCATCTTCCTCCGGCTCCCTCTACTCCTGTCTTTATTTGGAGCAGAGTTTGTGGACCTCCCTATTTGCAGGACTCTTATCATTCCCTTTTGGAAAATGAGAAAATGTACGTAAGTTCTGAAAAACACTGGTAGTTTTGAAAGTTGTAGGTGTTTCTTTCTTTTCTTTTCTTATCTCATTTTCTTTTATTTTTATAAGTGTTGACCATATTCATAAAGCATTTAATGAAGGAAGAGAATGTTTTTTTCCCCTTTTTGGTAATTACTTGTATCAGCATAAAACATACTATATATACTGCCTAATACTAACCCACTAAGGTAGGATAAGCACTTCAGAGGTCATGATAACCTTGATTTTGAGTATTTCAATGATACCTCGTCTAATTTCCATCACTGTAGAGCCCACAGTATAGCTACTGCTCTTAAGTGCAAGATGTCTCTGGCTATGAAACAAAATTTGCTCACATAAGGATGAAAAATGGACCCTGTCCTCCTTAGCATACTCTTCATCCAAAGACAATGAGAGCCAGAGGAGAGTGGATGTGGTGAAAAGGCCTAAAGAATTCACTGACTGGTTAACCAGCATCTAAATAATCAAGAATGGTCCACAACTACTGATATGGCCATTTGGCCCCATGTCATTTAACATCGGTACACAAGACCAGCTCTGTACCCACGTATAGGGACAGGAGAGAACCTCGGGAATTTATTATACATACTATTAATCCAATAGCGTCTTACTTTGCTGCAGAACTCGAATTGTATAAATGAACAAAACTGTGATTGCTAAAACAATAGTTTTTAGGAACCAAGTTTCTAAAAAAAAAAAAAAATTGTCTTTTTAGGTTTCTGTATTTACCTATGCCATCCTCAATGTCTGAGGTCCTAACCTACGAATAAAATGTATTATTTTAAACCATAGAGACGACTGAGAATTGCTCTGGGTAATTCCTGACAAATTTATGGTGAAATTTAGTGATCAGTTATTCCGGCCGGAAGTTGAAGTGAACCGGGAGGAAGAGGAAAGACAGTGGAAAAACTGCTGGCTGACGGAGTCCCGCCCAATAGTCTACTTATGTGATGCGTCAGTTAATTTTTTTAAACTTCTGGGATTCACCTAAGAGTTGTACTGGGTTTTGCCCTGTTACCTACACTCATACCCTTTTTTGGCAAGAAACTGCTGTAAATGAAATCTGGTTCAGGTCCCGTTACATTCACAGATAGGCCGAACATGTCTCTGAGAACACGTGTTTTAGTTCTTCCCTAGCAATGTGGGGGATCTGAAACCCTTTCAAATGCAACTGGGATTGTTTTGAGGAAAGAGAAAGAACAGAATGGAGGAAAAAAAATTCTATAACCTCGTTCATTGCCTGCTCTACTCGCTTCCTTATCCTTAATCTTGTCGCACTCACTGCGTCTTCCATCTTCTTTAGGTCTCCCCGCTGCAAGAGAGACCCGAGTTAGGAACCGACCGAGTATGATGCCAGGACCAATGTTGACAATGAGATGAGAGGCAGAAGCGAAATCAGAAGAGGGGGTAACGGCAGAACTGGAAATAAGTTTTCGGAGGTCCTTGAAATGGGGCGTACATATGCTCCGTTATCCATGAAGGTGTGAAATTTGCAAATCTAAACAAATAATACTCACCCAGAGGGAAAGGATCTATTGTCACTGAGATAATACTATTTGGTGCTCTCTAACTGAAATGTGCACATGATTAAGATGCTCTTTACAGAGCATGTGGGGAGAAGTACGATAGTGACGTGTGTGGAATGGAAAGGAAGCATGGAGCGTGACCACACGGAAAACCCAGCCGTCCGCTCTGACAGATGCCCACACGGCGGTGTTTACCTTGAGGAGCCTCGCAGACTCTGATACCCGACCTCATTGACTGGACCCGGGAATGCAGACTCATGCTAACAAAACTCACAAGACACTGATGTATTAAAAAAAAAAGAAAAAGAAAGCGACTTTATTATTTACAGTGAGCAATAGAAGAATCAGGCACCCTGCATGTCCCCGTCTGTATCAGCCTGACGGTGAATTATCACCTTGGGAAGGCAAATCAGCAGAGGGAAGTTGGGTAAAAGCCTGGAAGCAGAGCGAGTGAAGTTAATTACACAGGATTCCAGTGCATAATGGCATGAGGCTCCGCAGCTGTCTACACCGGCGTTATCTACCTGCCAGGCAGGCTGGGACGCTGGCCTTCACCTGGCAGGTACGACTGGTCAGACAGTGTTTTGTAGGTGTCACGACAATTACATTAATAGCTTTTCTTTTTCTCTGTTTTGGAGACAGAGAAAGTCCTCTTCTGAGGCAGAGTTTATGTGTTTGTGTGTTTTTAAGATGTTTGTGTGTTTTTATAACCCTCAATTAGGTTACAGACAAATCTTACGGCCCAAGGAGTCTTCTGGTCTCTTAAGAGATTGCCTCTCTTGGCTTTAATCTGTTAGGTGTTCATTTCTCAGTTTAATTTTCAGAGAGCTTTTTTATTTTCCTGCTCCCTGGGATCCAGAAGGGCAGCACATGATGGAATCCACATTTGCCTACAGGTTCCACAAAGTGTCCGTCAAATTTAAATTGACCTGTATTCATTGCGCCAATGTTATGCCCACTGCTGTGCCAGGTACAAAACGATACTCAGAAGTATAACAAGAGCCTCTCAGGACGTGTTCTATCTGCTGGATCCCTGAATCCTAGGTTCTTCTAAAGGTACATTTATTTATTCATTTTCCACTAATAGTTACAGACCTTCTACTATGTACTGAGATTTAACAAGTACGAGGAACATAAAGATACACATGGCACTGTCTCGTTCCCTTTAATAGCTTACAATCCAGCAAAAGAATAAGCCATGTTTTTAAAGAAAAGGTACTGTGCCAAGCGGCATGGAGCATGGTGGAGGGAATATTTTTATATCTAGGGGCAGAGACAGAAACCATCTTTTTTTAGATCTGATTTAAAAAATGTACTAAATAACAATGATGATTTTAAAAAATTAGCACAAACTATAAGTTCCTTCCTTGCTATTTCCCCTTCCCTGTTCTATATTTCAAGGTCGCCCACAGTAGTTCCAATACTCTTCCAGATCTTTTTATCTACATATGACACACAAACACACACACACACTTTTCTCCTCAACACATGCATATTTAGATATATGTGTACATCTATACATAACTTTGTATTACACATCTCATTTATATAATACACACATGCACACACCCATTTATATGACATACATGCACGAGTGGGATCATACTAATATATACTGTCTTGTAATTTGTTCTTTTATATTGAATTATCTGTTGTAAATTATGTCCATAAAGAAGTGCACAAAATAAATATGTTCAGTTTAGAAAATAAATTACTCTGTATAGCTACCACTAGGTCAATAAATAGAAAATTCTGAAACCCCAGAAACTCCTTGCATGCTCCTACCCTCTCCAAAATCATTATTCTGAATTTTTTGTTAATCATTTCCTAGGTTTCTGTATAGTTTTACTACCTATGGAACAGGCAAAGTTCAAATTTGCCTGAATCTGCAAATGCCCTCGGTCAAAAGCAGCTTCCGTCCCTAAGCCTCTTTGAACTTTCACTTTTCCTTAGATTTTGGCCTTTAATTCCTTATCTTTTCAGCTCTTTGCTGCTCTGAGGTCTTCTCATACATATTCAACATTTTCAATTATTTTCAGCAAGAGGATTGTTCGAATCGGCCATATTTTCAGTAACAGGAATCTGTGTCACTTCTCAATTTCCTCCTTGTGTTAGTTATATGTATAAATGTAGATTCTTACCCACCAGATCCTAACTCCTTAGGGGTCTGGAGGCAAACATCTTCATTTTCCCACAGCACAAATAGTGAAACATGCAGTAAATGCAGAAAGAGTAAAGAATAAAAGCCACGGAAAAGAGAACGAATACGTAAGTGCTCCTGCCATGGAGTTTCCATTTCCTTTTGGCAAAGAAAGTTAAGATGTACGTGCATAAAATAATTTGATGTGAAATAATGTCAGGTAATAAAGAGATACGTTTAAATGAAATCACTTATATTTATTGATATAGAAAATTTCCAAGATATATTTTCAAATGAAAAAAGAAATTTGTAGGATGGTGTCTGCGTATACAATATATGTCGACATTCATCTCCCACGTGTGTAAGCAGGTGTGTGTGCAAATGTGTGCCTGTGGGCATTCTTGTTCTTGCATAGAAATAGAACTGCAAAGACACATAACAGTGGTTACTTCTATAGACAAGAACTGGGAAGCCAGAAGCTATCTCTTCACTCTCAAATATCCTATATAATATTTTTACACATAGCATATATTTTATAGTTGGGGGGAAATTTTAAAATATATATTCAAGGGCAAACATATCTGACAAAAGGAAACCAAGAAGAAAAAAGAGAAAGAAAGACAGAAATTATTGAGGAAGGTTTCTTCAAAAGATAAGACTTAAAATGGGTGCTGAAGGACCGGAAGAGTTTAAGTGAGAGAACAGGGGTGGGGAAAGAGGTGGATGAGTTTTGTCTTGAGCAGACATTAGGGAAGAAATGAGGATGGTACCTGAAGAGGACAATACGGAAGTTTCGCTTGGATAAAGCCAACTCCAGTTGACATGCAGACATATGATTCAATGGACAAAACAGAGCCATCACATAAAATGTGGAATGCCATCCATAGTAAGAGCTACTAACTGGTTTGATGGGAACGAGAAGTCAATCCTGGTTACTGTACAAGGTGGTCACATGAGATAATACTAACCTCATGGAGTAGTTTGTGCAGAATGAGATCAAGCGTGAAAAATCACCGGTAATTTGTAAAGTGCTAAATCAGTAACTATAAGTTTTAAGTAAGTTATATTAAAAATTACATTTTAGAAAGATTGTCTTGGTATTTCTGTGTAAAATGCATTACAGAGGAAGACAGACTCGGAGCGAGGTCATTCCTTAGCAATATAACATACTTGAAAAAGCCTGACCAGTTTTTGTAATCTGAAAAATACAGGTAACTTCCTATCTCTCAGGATTGTTACAGGGATGAAATGTACAGAAAATGGCAAGGTCAAAATCTAATGCATTAGTTCATTTCTTCTCAACTGCTGATTACAGTCCAGAGGCACGTTGATAAAGATCAGAACTGAGGCCCTGATCATGGGGACAGAAAAGGTAAACCCCAGAGATTCTTCTAATAATCAATAAGGACCTACTG